AGTTCAGTTGCAGTCAACCCTGGAAGGGGAAGCCTTCATTTCTGGGATTCCTTGCCGGCAGGGGACTTAGCTGGATGGCTAAAAATAACTGCCTCTCCCATGTCTCTGTAACTTCCCCTGAATGTCACCCCGGGAAGCAGGAGGGAAAAGCTTTATTATACTGGGAGGGAAACAGGCTTGGGGAGGTTTGGTGACTTGCCCCAGGTACTCAGCCCTGAGGTGGTTGACTTGGGCCTCTTTGCCACATTCTGAATGGGGTGCTGTGGGTGTCCCCATGAAGCAGTGAGTACCCCAAAATGGAGGGACCAGGCTGCGGGTGCCCTGACACCTCTCAGGCACTTGCTACGTTCCCTTCGACCAGAGAAATCAGGCCCAGGCTCAGTTTTGCAGGCCAGGAGTATGTAGCTAGAACTAATAGTTTCGTCCTCATTGTATTTATTTTTAACATTGCCTTCTGTGTATGACAAATGATACTGTTTTTATTAATAATAGGGACATAAAGGTCCTTTTGAAAACTTGGAGCTTAAGAAAAGGCACATTGAATTAAAATACTAAATAAATAATTGTCCAGGCAGTTCTTCGATGTGGCAAGACTCCTGGGCAAACATTGGGCAAATATTGGGCTCTTTGGAAGACCTCCAAGCGTTAGACCAGCTGGAGACACTCTCAACCAAGGATCCTCACAAAACCCGCAGCTGAGGAGCACCAATAGCTGATACATAAACGAGGACCCAGGTTTGAGAAACCAGTCCTCGTTTCTCCAGGACACTGGCTTCCATCAGGGCTGTGGACCCAGGCGGACAGCAGCTTCTCCTTTCCCATCCCCTTCCGGCCATGTACCAGCAGCAGACTGAGCCACAGCGGAGACGCTGAGCAAGTCATGTGGGTGATGTCTGCCTCCAGCCACTTTAATTGATGGTTTGGTACATGGAAAAAGAAGAATGAGCAGTTCATGTCCAGCAGGAGAGTCTTTGAAGGAGCAAAGGGGCTTCTCCTTTCAGAGGATGTGCCCCCTGCCCAGCATGTGACCTAGCAGGTGGGGACAAGCAGCAGAGGAGCCACCATGCAGTGACACCTTGTATGCTCTGGGTATTGCAGGCATTCCACTAACATGACCGTGTATCCTCACAACAGTCGGTGCAATGAGATGGGCATTGACTTAATTTCAGATGTGGAAACAGGCTCAGAGAGATTGGGTAACTTGTCTAAGGTCACAAAGCTAGGAAGGGGCAAAGCCAGAATTTCCCCAGACAGGCCCATTCCAGCCCTTGCCCTGGTGGCTCCAGAGGAGTAGGACAGGGTGATGGCTGAACTGCAAAAAAAAAAAAAAATCCCCTTTCAGCAAGTCCAGCACCCGTAAGACACAAGGGTCATCTTCTCAACTTAAGCCAAATCCCAAATGAGGCAGCTTTTCCACAAAGGTATCAAACTGGGACATTACTTCTTAAAATGGGTCAAATAACCACTTGTCATTCTAATGACAACTGAGTCAGCTGGCCACTCCCTCTGTCCAGCTCTGGGGAGTGGCCTGGAATGAAGTTACAGGTTCAAAAAGAAAGAAAACAAGACAGCCAATGGCTAATGAATTGTCTGTCATTCTCTAATACCAGAAGATTGGAGGCACACGACCGTGGATGCTTTTTGGCCTGGGGCTTTTGATGTCTTAGAGGAAAAGATGACCCTAAGGTGCTGAGAGGAACATCTGTGGGGTCAGAACACGGAGGTTCAAATTCTGGCTCTGCCCTTTGCAAGCTGTGTGGCCTTGCACAGTTTACTTAACCTCTCTGAGCCACATCTGGAATTCTGGGATGATGATCCTACTTGGCCCCACCTCCTAGGGTTGTTTTGAGGACTAAATAAGCTAAGACATGAATCAAAGCAGATGGTACAAGGTGAGCATAAAGTGCTTGATAAATGCCTCAATGTTGTTAAGATTCTCGTTCATGCAAGACCCAACTTGCAAGTCAGAGGAACAAGGGGATTGATCTATAACAGACGTGCTGGCTGCAGGCTTGGTACAGATGAGAGGTGCCAGGACATCCTCCAGCCACAGAAACGAAGACTGGGCCCATGACCTCAACACTTGCTGTGTGACTTTGGGCAGGTCACTGCCCTCTCTGGTCCCCTTAATTCTCTGAGGAGTGCGAGGGATCAAGACCATCAATAACTTTTGCTCTCTCTGCTTATTGCCTGAACTATTATTTATGTAGTTATTTTCTTTGAATCAGCCCTCTTCTCAAAAAGAGATTACTGTTTTGAAAAGAGAGGAGCTTTATATTACTATCAGACATCACCTGCCATAAATAGAAGGGGAGCCTACAGATAAACTCAATGAAAATGAAGAGCGGTAGTGTACCTGGTGGGCTGGCGCCTGAAGGCCCCGACTTGTTCCGATGGGAGGTTAGTGTCTGTGAGCGCGGCATTCCAGCCAGCCTGACGCTCGTCTGGAACTCGATGCTGTTCGAGTCACAGGACTAGGAGAGGAGCACATCCCTGTTCTGTGGGGTGATCCCATGTCCTAACACCCCATCCACACGAGCCTGAAATGGGCCCAAGTATGATCCCTGTCTTGGAGACGGCTGCAGCGAGCCCCAGGAAGGGTGAGCCTCAGTAAGTCATTCTGTGTCAGGTTCCTGGAGGCCGGCGCTCTCAGGAGCCCCCCAACCACTGACCCCACAGGGAACCCCAGAGATTCCTTGGAGGAGGGAGGTCAGCAGGAGGTGGGCTCCTGGCAGGACAGGCAGGGACCCTGTGAGCACATTCCTAACGCCTGTGCTCTCGGATGTGCTGGCTGCAGGCTGGGCTTCCCTTCCCACACCAGGCCAGGTGGGTAGACAGGGTTGGCCCGAGGACTCGAGGACTTGCCTGTGTCCTCAGTAGGAGCCAGGGAACGTCTCCGAGCAGGAAAGGACATGTTCCCAGCTGGCCTCTAGAACATGAACCTGGCAGAGGACACGAGAAACTTGGCCCATTTAGCGCCTGCTCACCTCTCCCACCATGTGTCCCCATGCCAGCCTTCTCCCCCCTGCCCACCCCATATCACACTGCAGGAGGTGCCAGAACCTGCTATGCCCTTGTTACCTGCCCTTCCTCTGCCTGGCGTTCCCTTTGTGCACAGCCTCCCCCAGGCTCCAGGCTCCATCTGTTCCTGGTCTTTGTCCTGTCAGGTGTGTTACCTTAGGCTGAAGTCGCTCACTAGATTGTGTCAAAGGCAGGGGCTGCATTCAACCACAGGGTCCCCAGCATCCAGCTTGGGGCCTGGCACACAGGAGGTACAAGATTATGTAATGTTTAAAATCTGCAGTGCGGCAAAGCCCCGGAGAGCTGAGCATCCTTAGGAAATGACTTACCCTCTCTGAACCCTAGTGTTTTCATCTGTAAAATGGAATCATAATAGTGTGTAAGTCCTGGGATTGTTAGGAGGGTTGGATGAAGTGACCCGTGTAACGTCCCACCTCAGGTGTGCTCTCTCAGGAAGAGACCCTGGGACAAGAGTCAAGAGCGAGTCATTTATTTGGCAAACGATCCCAGGAAGTACTGGTGGGGAGTGGGGCAGTGAGACAGGGAAAGGACGCATCACCGTGTAGTCACCACTGAGGCTGTGGGTGCAGTACTGCTCAGCAACTCCGGAAGCCAGTGTGGATGGAGGCTGTGCCTCAGAGTCGGGAGCCAGGGTACTGATCCACCACCTGGTTGCTGTCCCTGGTGGGAAGGCAGCCATTGGGAGACATTAGCTTTGCCTGTGCTGGCAACCTAGGGGCCAGGCCAGCTCCGGAGGCAGGGATAGGCCTCAGGCAGAGAGGCAGGTCCCCGCAGGTGCAAGCTGCCAGGTCAGCAGGCCCTGGAAAGGTGAGTGGAAGGGTGAGTGGAGTGAATGGGGCAAGGCACCCACAGCCTGTGCCTTGGACTCGGCCCACAGTAGAAGCTCAGGAAGTGGTAGCTGCCCTGACTGCTGATGCCTTTGTTGTCACCAGTCCAGTACCAGCTCTGCTTGTCAACAGTTGTGCAGCTTTAGGCAGGTCACTTGGCATCTCTGAACCTTGTGGAAATGCACGGTTCTCAACGGGAGCAGTTCTGCCCCTTCGGCTGGCCCTTGGAAATGGGGCAAGGGAGCATTTCTAGTTGTCACAGTGCCTGGGGGTGCCTCTGGCGTTAGTGGTCAGGGACCACGGATGCTGCTGAACATCCTGCAGTGCCCAGAACAGCCCCTGCATTGGAGAAGTGTCCTGCCCCAAATGCCAACAGCATCCTGATGAGCAACATCATACATTGTGTGTTGAACATGTAAGGTTTTTTTGATGCTCAGTGACGTTTGCAGAAGGAATAGTCTGAGCTGGCAAAGATGAAGGTCAGAACTGGGGCGAAAGGATGGGTCCAGGAGTACAAGCTGCTGCACAGAGGTGCAGCAGAGGCACTCAGCTGGACACAGAGGAGGAAACAAGAAACGGGGACCAGCTGAAGGGCCAGGCAGTGGGGTGGTGCCAGGTCCCAGGAGCATGAGCCAAGTGGGGCTGCTGAGTCGCTTGGCTGTGGCCACAGCCTTCCTGTAGGCTGCAAAGCATTTTCCGGGCAAGGTGGGGGGTGCTGCCAAGCCCTTCCCACTACCCAGAGCTTGCTCACTGCCCTGGCACCAAGTCAGCCAGCAGACCCTGGGTGACCTCTGAGTGCCCGCCCTTCTTCCTCAGGCACCAGGGTCCCCCTCCTCCCTCCCAGTAATGGTCAGTTTATCCTCTCCTGTGTGAAATGGCACATGTTCTCCAGCCCAGGGTCCTCAGAAATCAGGCAGATTCATTAAGAGGAGTCATTAATAAAAAGTATAGGCAACCTCCCCCAAGCCTGAGTCTGTGGGGTCTAGTGGTTCTGGAAGACACAGGATGGAGGAAGGCTTCCCTGTCCCACCTCGAGTCTCTGAGGCCTGCTGGATGGGTCCAGATCCCCTGCTGGCAGGGTGGCAGGGCAGCGTTTCTGCTCCAGTAATGCCCCTTTTTCCTTCTTGTTAGGCCTGCTCCCCTCGAAAGCTCCGTGCCATCAGAGAGGCTCCTGTCCGGACCCCAGAGGGTGGGGTGCAGAGACTGAGCCTGAATGCCCAGGTGGGAAAGGCGTCTGCCCCCGCCCCAGGGGGATGGTGTGGGCACCCAGAGGCCTCCCCTACCTGCAGCTTCGCACAAGTGGCCCTGCCCCGGCTTCTGGCCCTTCGCAACGGCGGCGGACATTTACAGGAACCCAGCCAGGGTCTGCCTCCCCGCTCTTCACCCCCAGCTGCACCTGCTTCCCCCACTTAACCTTCAGAGAGGACACGTCACCCGCGGACACACTCCCAGCTCTGGGACTGCCAGCTGTTCGATGCCAGTTGAGCCTTCAGCGCGCCGGGTTTGGCCCGAGGCTGGTCGCAGGGGCAGGGAGTGACTCAGAAGGGAAAGGAGCCGAGGAGCGCATCAGGGGCCGAGGGCCTGGTTCCGCCGCACTCGTTGCAAGTTGCTTGTTCCTAATCAGGTTGCCAGAACTGATCCGTCACGCTGGGGGAGGACCGCTTTGCTCCTCTGGCCGGAATATTTTTTTTTGAAAATGTGAGTGGTATGAATACTTGATTTCGATAAACCTGTAAAAGCAATACTTGGGAGGCTGACTTATTTCAATTAAAATATTGTATGCAACTCCAGCCCGTGGGGGCCCTGCCTGTATTTAATGGGAGACTCGGGAAAGGGGTCCTTGTGCAGCCTCACGGCTGACAAAGAGCAGGAGAGTCGGGGGCTCTGCAGTCGGAGACCCAGCAGGGTTTGGAGGGAGTCCCCAAGTCCCACACTGGCCCCCTCCCGGCTTCCACAAGCCTGAGAAGCCAGGGCCAGCCTCAGGGGCTGGTGGGAGGCCTGGGGGCCTCTGAAAGTCCCAGAGAAGTGGGAGGCGTGGGAGGCCTTGTGCTGGGCCGGTGGAAGACCTCAAAGAGGGTGATGGCGAGGGAGGGAGGGAAGCAAAAGACGGGTGAACCCAGGTGGCTTCTGGTTACGTGAAGAAACAGCAGTAAGCCCCCGCAGTCTGCAGAGCACGTGACGCTTTCTCAAGCTCCTCCACATAACTCGTGTCAGGTGAGTACAAGGATTTGCTCCATTCTACAGGTGAGGAGACAGGTGTGGGGAGGTACCTCTCTGGCAGAACTCAAGAGAAAAGGCACCCACAGCACCACTTGTCTTCATGTGGTTAAAGACATGGGATGCTGAGAAATGGCGACAGAAGACACTTGAGAAGCCAAAGGAAAAGGTGAGTGTGAAAGGGGAGACATTTGCATTGGGAGAGAGGCCTGAGGGGAAAGGTGAGGCATTGAAAGACACAGTAAGTGTGGAATCATGTCATTAATGTACAGTGTGACCCCAGACGTGACATGCCACACTTTCTTGGGCCTTGCTTCTGCTACCCAGTAAATGGGGCTTGTGCAACAATTCAGCACCCCATGCGTGTGCCCACAGGGACACTCCAAAGAAATCAGAAGGCAAGTTTGCGTCTTGACTCCTTACAGGGGTGTGACCTTGGGTAAGTCACATCATCTGTGAAATGGGGACGATAATTTACATACCTCATAAATGACTTTGTGTTCATTACAAAGGTGCCCCACTGGGCTGACATGGCTCCACACCAGACTCACAGCTTGGCAAGCACAGCTGCCCACTTGCCATCTGTCTTGCTTGGGTGCTTTTGTGCAGTGCACAGACTGCCCAGCCACCCCAACCTGCCCGGGGGTTTTTTCTAATTTACTGAAACACAAGGCTTACCAGAGTAGGGACCTTGAGCATCTTACAGAATACACCACTGTGTCCTCTATATGTATTTGCGGAGTGAATAAAGCAGATAAATTTAGCAAAGCTGGGGTGAGGATCATTCATTCACAAACATTTCCAGAACATTTACTATGTGCAGGCACCTCACTGGGTGCAGAGCGCACAGTAGTGAGCAAAGCAGACAAGTTCTTTCCCTCTTGGAGCTCACATCCTAGGACAAGAGCAGACTGCACAATAAATAAGTGCAAAGAAGGTACACCAGTGGCAAGGGTGGCAGGTGGAGAGGGATGGGGTGAATAGGGTAGTCTGGTAGCCCTTGCTGAGGAGCTGTCCTCTGGACCGAGTACTGAAGGATGAGACAAAGTCGGCCATGTGAATTGCTGGGAAGAACATTCCAGGCCAAGGCAGGAGCTGTCCTATGCGATAAGGACAGCTAACACACCGTCAGCTGTGTGCCAGGCTCATCGACTGTCTGTGTGACCCCATGGGGAAGGTACTGTGATTATTCCCACTTTACATATGAGGACACTGAGGCACAGTGAAGTAATCTGCACAAGTGGTGAGCTGAGCATTGAGCCCAAGCGGTCCAGCTCCAGAGGCCATGCTGCGGACCCTACACTTTGGTCCCTCTTGAGCAGGAGCACTTTAGCCTAGTGCCTGGTACAAAGTAACAATTGCTAATATGTTTCCTACACTGACTGTCTCTTGCACTGTGATAAGTGCTTTACATGTATCAACTCATTTAATAAAGGGTAGCTATCATTTAAAAGTCAGTAATATGATTAATTAAGGCCTCTGACTATAATTTTGTCATCTCTGAACAGACCACACAGTGGGACCAGTGGTGCCCTCCCCACCTGGCGAAGGGTGTGGTAGATGTCTGGACTGGAGGGAGACTGGCTCAGTGCTCATCCCCAGCGGTGAACAATTGGGAGTTCCAGGGACTTCACAAAGTCCCCAAGTGCAGGGACACCACAAGGGGGGGGGGTCCCTGAGCTGTTGAACACCCAAATCTGGGTCACAACACCTGATATCCTTTGCAGCTGAGCCTCAGCAGAAAGCAGAGGTGTCTGAAGCGCTCTGACACTCCCCCACCCCCGACTCCCACTTGCTGGGAAAAGGAGGACAGTTTGGGAGCCAGGCATCAGGGCTGACGCACCAGGGCTAAACAGATAGGTCCCACTGCCCCCAGGAGAAAGCCCAGTTACCCCACATCAGTGCTTCTGGCCGAGCAGGCCATTCCTAGGGAAAAACAACAGCCAAGCCGTCAGCTCTCTGCATGGAGAGCAATGCTGCCAAGTCCCTTCCAGGCTTGCCACCCAAGGTGGTTTTCCAGCTTAGCCAGGAAATGGCTCTCAGGACAGAGCGTGGGTCAGACAGAGGCAGAGCAAGGCATTTCCCTCTGCAAGGCTTCTGGTGCTCCGACCTCACTGATGTCCCAGATAATGAACTTCCCACTGAGCCTTAGGATGCCATAAAAAAACCCTTCCTGGAAAGACAGGACATGGACCAAGTTGGACTGTCAAACTAAAGAATATGGCTTCTAAGGCTGGGTTATACAAAGAACAAAACCTCTCCCTGTGGTCTCTCTCCATCCCCAGCCCTACTCCAGTTCTGTTCTGGGTGATCACCCTTCAACCCAGCCACTGTGCTCTGAGGAAGCCGAAGTTAGCCCCTGTGTAGAGGTGCCTCTCCGACAGTTCCTTAGGGGAAGCAAGGCCCCCAGCTCCCAGCCAGCATCTAGTGAACCTTCAAACCATCCAGGCCCAGGCTAGATGAGCTGTTCCCACCGAGCCCTGCCTGAATGACACGTGAGCAAGTTAATGTGTGTGTTGTTTCAAGCCACTTATTTTGGGGTAGTTTGCGATGCATTAGATAACAGGAACTGCAAGCACCCCAAGATAGTAATCATGGCAAAAATTCAAGCACTGTGCCCTCCTGTGAGATAAAAACCATCTATAATGTAGTGAAAACGACACAAATGGAGGCAGAAAAGACAGGTGTGGTTCCAGCCCGTCTCCCCTCCCCTCCTCCATTAGTGTACCACCAGCTGTTTCCCTGCTTGGGGCCAGCGTGCCTGGCCAGGCCTCACTTGGGCCTCAGCAAACACAGTTAGTGCAAAACAGTGAGTCCCTCAGACAGAAAGCAGCCACCACAGAATCCCAGCTGCCAGGCCACATTTGCCTGCTGGTATCTTCAGAGCCCAAGGATGTGCTGTTAGAGCACGTGGAGGCAGAGATGCGGCCATCTCAGTCCCTCACTCTGAACTGGCCACGACTGTCCAGAGCGTCCTGCAGGGAATGAATGGCTCAGGGCCCAAGTGGACTGCAGCTGCCCCCAGGCACCCATCCGTCCGCCAGGGCTGCAGTGGTTGAGCAGGGCTGTCATCAGCCTGGGTCCCAAAGGGGCCTGGAGCCGACCTGGGTCTGTCCCTTCCATGGCTGGGCAGGGGCCAGCCCAAGAAGAGCTGTGCCCACAAATGACCAGTTCAAGGTCCAGCGAGGTCAGTGTCCTCAGAGAACGTGCTGCAGGAGGTAAGCAGAGGGGGTTGGTCAGGGAGCTTTAGGAAGACCAGCCTGACACATAGACAGAGCATTGTGGAGATGGTGGGAATGGGGAAGGCGGTGTCACAGATCAGGGGAGCACAGAAGTAAGGGGACCGTCATCTGCACAGTGAGAGGCAGGAAGGTTGTAGAGCAAATTCCTAGGAACACAGTGTGGGGCACCAGGGCACCCAGCAGGCTGAAACAGAAGTAGGGGGTCTTGGCAGTCCTCAGAGGAGATCTTCCTATTGCTAAGGCCATGGGCTGCAGATGGCTGACCCACCCTGTCCTTCCCCCCATCTCCAAGACTGGTCACAGCGAGGGTCTTTAGGGCCCAAGTCCTCAAAGCCTTTCAAAGACACCTCCACCACCGAGACTAGCATAGAGGCAGGGTGCCCCGGATGGTTCATAGTCCGGGGGTGGTCGGCTAGCTCCCACCTGTCACCCTTGACTACTTTTTATAGATCCCAACTTCACAGGACACTGACCCCAGGGATCCCTGCAGTTGTCCCCTTCCAAGCCCACCTGTTACCTCATCCCAGCCACAGCCAGGATCATCTCAGGCTGATCCGTGAGTCCAGCTGCTGCAGATGTTCCTGGACGCCAAATGGGATGGTGGGCGTCCACATCCTGGTGGGACATGGCATGTAGCAGCCAGGTGAGAGAAGAGAGGGTGGCCCAGAGCCCCCAGTGAAAGCTTTCCCCTAACCCTTCTTTCCACCCAGCCTAGAACCTTGGGGACTTGCCACATGGCAAGACCAGATCAGTGTGGGGTTCTAGGGACAGGAGACACCTAGGAGCCCCAAGACCCTTTACTTTAGACCTGGTTCTGCTGCTGTCTTGCTGTGTGACCTCAAAAACGTTAACCTCTTTGCCTTATTATCCTCTGTAAAATGGGTCTTAAAAGATCCACCCTGTCCCTCTTAGAAGACAAGTGTAACTGTAGATGGAAGTGCTTTGAGAGAGTATACAGTGCCAATATGTGATATTAGACACCATAATGGTATAATAAGAAATAAGTTTGTACCAAACAAACTTGCCAATTTTGAAGGTCAAAAATGGCTGACTATAAGCAATTTCATATCATTCAACCCAAACTGCTTGAGGGTAAACACTGTTATCACTCCCGTTTCATAGATGAAGAAACTGAGGCCTGGAGGGGTGAAGTGCCTGGTTGCACACTGGTGAGGAGCATGCCTAGAGAGCTGCTGGTGCTCCACCCACCGGGGCTGCAGAGACTTACGCCAGCGTCTCCACGTGAGGGCACTTTCTCAGGCTGGTGGCGAGCTGCTGGGCCCCCACAGCTGTGAACTTGTTGTACTGGACACTGGGGAGAGAAACCCATCCTGGGGTCAGGCCCTTGGGACCATCCAGCCCCAGACCAAGGCCACCACCACGCTCCCAACAATCAGATCTCAGCCCTGCCCTTCCCAGGATGCCAGCAGGAACCCTCTCATCTCCCCAAGCCCCAGGCCCCTGCTACCCACTGCTGCCCAGGCTTCCAACTTACTCGAGCACCCGGAGGGACACCATCTGTGGGAGCACATGTGCCAGGTTCTCAGCTCCCGTATCACAGATGCAGTTATTGTACAGGCTGCCGGGAAACAGAGGTCAGGGCAGGGGCTGGAGGTGCAGGCCCAGGGGGATCTGCACCCAGCCCCATTTCATACAGGGGCAAACTGAGGCCCAGAGAATTGAGGCTGCTTCTCTGTGGTCACAGGAGTCTGGGTAAGCAGAAGGACTGTAGCTTCCTTGCTGAGACTTCCCAAGTTCAAATCCCAGGTCTGTGGCTTGCTGCCTGGGTGACCTTTGGTGAGTCACTTAAATTCTCTGTGATTCAGTTTCCGCCTCCATAAAAGGGGCATGACAGAGGGATTGTGGGGAGGAGTAAATGAATTACTGATGGTTAAACACCCAGAATGGGCCCTGGCACGTGGAATGAACCAAATATTGGCTCTGGTTATTACGACATCCCAGGGGGTTTTGTGAGGGTTATATGAGTGATCGTAATGGGTACGACTGGCAGTGGGGACAGCAGGGAGAGCAAAACCCAGAGTCCTTGGGCTGGTTTTGGTTTCTGTGGCATATTTACAGCCACCATCAGCAGGACAGGTGTTGCTGGGGTCAACTTGAGCTGTGTGCTCATTAACAAGCGTCCTTTGAATAGCCAGTTGCTGACATGGTTCTAATTTAAAGACTGTGACTTCGTCATGACTCAGCTTCAGGGCTACACTGCAGGGCTGCAAGTAAAAGCAGCAGGTCTATACTGCAGCAAAGCAGATCCAAGCTAAACTCCAGCAAGCTCCTCATGTCAGGAGTTAGCCAGTAGCCAGGCACAAACTAGACAGGCTTTACCGAATCTTTCTGGGTGGGTCTTAGAGGCCGGAAGGCCCTCCCTCCTCCCCACAGAGGGTTCTTCCCCTATTTCATCCATGCCAGGTTGTACGTGTTCACATTTGAGTATCATTGAATTCAGTATGTCTCTGATAAACAATAAGTGTCATAGTTTAATTAATGTCACTGCATTTTAACGCTTAGAGTGTCTTACAATGGATGGCATCTTAGATTCCATAAAATATGAGGCTTTTAAAAGTGTCAGTAAGATCAGATATTACCTCCATATACCCCACTCACTTTTCCATTCACAATGGAAAAACCCCCCTCCTGACCAACCTACAAGGGCCTCTATGATCTGGCCTCCCCAGACCTGTCCTACCTCATCTCTCACCCTCTGTTCCTCATTCCCTATAGCCAGCCAGAGGGGTCCTTCTGGCCTTCAAAGACCCATATTCTTCTCCACTACAGGGTCTCTGCATCTTCTGTTCCCTCTTCCTGGAATGCTTGTCCCTGAGAGCTCTCACAGAAGGGGAAGGGTCACCTCCTCAGAGGTCTCCTGACTTCCTGGGTGCATTCAAGACTCCCTATTATACTCTCCTGGGACCTTGTGAGTTTCCATCCCAGAATGAATCACTCTTTTAAAATATTTTATGTATGCATATGCTTACTTAATTTTTATGCAAGAATCTTGAAAGTGAGAACCACATTTGTTTTGTTCATAGATGTATCTCTAGTTCTTAGCACAGTTTCCGGCCCACGGTTGATATAGAGAATATTAGATGCCCCGCACAGGTCTAGGGAGTGCCAATCATGGAGACTACGAGTTGCATGGTACACAACCTATACAGTTGCACGCGGTGACCCTGACTGGAAGGCTCTGACTCTGGTTGTCCTCAGCAGGTGATGAGGGCTGGGGAATAAAGGAAAGTTCCTACCTGCCTTGTGGGAGAGGAAAGCTGGCAAAGCTGAGGTGAACAACTGGGGCTCTGGTCCATGCTCTAGGATCCCTTATTAGTCCCCAGTACCACCAGGTGCCAGGCTGGAAGTAACAAAGAGCAGGAAGTGCTATGCAATGCCCCCCAGAAGGTGGCAGTGTAGGCACAGACTGGTGTACGAGTGACCAGAGCAAGCCAGGGCTGTCTGAATGGTCAGCCTTCTAGAAATCACCTGGACTCCAGAACAGGTTGGTCCCTGCCATCTCCCGGGGAAAGAGGACCAATAATTATGGCACAGCAGAGCCAAGCATTGCACCAAGTGCTTTCCATAGGCCATAGGGATGGTACCCATTTTCCAGATGAGAAAATAGACTTGGGATGGGTAAGCAACTTGCCCACAGTTTGTCAGATGCTCTTTCCTCAGATCTTGTCCGGGGGCATGGCATTTCCCAGCTCCAGGTGGCTGTGTTCATATTGGATTTTAGGTGAATGGCACCCACCCAAGTTGTGCAACACTAGTGAGGCAGACCAGCCAGTAGTGATTGCTCCCAGGGCCCCAGTGGCTAGGCTTTGCGGATGGCACAGAGGGGCTCTCTGCCCTCGCTCAGCCCACCAGTTTAGCACCTGCCGATGGCAGGGCCCCACTCACCTCAGCCTGAGGAGGGACGCAGCCAGCGAGGGCAGGGCCTCGGCGAGCTTGCAGGCGCCCACGTCAGTGATGTTGTTCTGGGACAGGCTGCAGGGACACGGGGAGGGGACAGACTCAGGGCCAAGCCTGGATGCCCCTTTCCCATCAGCACCCCTCCACCTGGGGCTCAGGCAGAGCTGGGGAACCCTTGCTTCCTCAAGGGGCAGCCCAGAGCAGCAGACACGTGACCCGTCTACCTCAGTGAGTCATGAGCGATGAGCTGTGAATGGCTCTGCGGGTGGACTTGTGCAGACTTTTAATAGATAAGAAGATACTGTCACATCCTGTGGCTGATGGGATAGTGCGGGTGGGAGGGTGCAGATGACAGAGGGAGAGGGCTCTCCCGGACATCTGCTCGTGATCTTACAGCACTCCTTTCTTCCTTTGGGCCACTTTTCAGCACTGTCATTAAGTTAGTGTTCCTGTTATTTGTTTAATGGCTGTCGGTATCGCAAAACTAGGGATTGGGTCTGTTTTGTTCCTTACTATGGCCCGTGCTTACAGACTGCCAAACACCCAGTAAGTGCTCAATAAATATTTAAGTGGAGAAAAAAAGAAAGAAAGGGAAGTGAAGGAAGGGACAGGAGGGAGGCAAAGAGGGAGAGACGGAAATCTAGCTTACCCTGTGTTGCCTAGAAAATTATAAATTCCCCAAGAAGTCTTAGTGTCCTACAATCAAGGAAATCCAGAAGTGAATTCTGGTGAATTCTGTAGCTGCCCTGGTGCAGGTAGAGTTTGAGGACACCCTCCTCTGAACCTTTATGGTTCAGTGAAAAATTATGTTGTTTCTCCTGCTTCATATCCAGCTCCTATTTCCCAAAACCCACAAGAGTTTTTTAAAAATAGAAATGTACTATCTTGGTAATAATGTTCTACCCATAAATCCTAATCTATCTCTGTTTTATCCCCAGTATAATTTTTTTCTCACTAAACATTGCTTACATTCATTACTATATGCCTCCTAACTATGGACTCATCTGTTTTCTTGCTCAGGGTGTCTCCTCACTGGAGGATCCCTGAGGTCAGGGGCTCTGTTTTGTTTAAGGCGGGGTCTCCCGGGCCTAGAATGGTGCCTGCATGTAGTAGGTGTTCCTTAATTTTTGTTGATTGAGTTAATAAAATGATTGGTTGAGTGGATGATAAAATAATGAAATGAGTAAATGAATTAATGGGTGGATGAAACAAAGAATTACAAAGCCAGCTGGACTTGGGGGACCAAATGCCACAGGCCCACACCACTCACTTGAGCGTCTCCAAGGCCTTCAGTTGAGGGAAGGTGGCTGATAGCTGCGCGACCCCCTCATCCCCAATCTTGTTCTCACTCAGTGAGTCTAGGCTGCAAGTGGAATCAGATGGGGGGCCATCAGCCAGCATGCCATAGGTCCCCTCCTCTCCCTCTCCCTGTAGCCCAGCATGTCTTCATCACCTGGGGGTGCCAATTGGCCCGCTAGGGGACAAGCATCTAACTCCCATGGACCTGAATCCCTGTTTTCCTTCCTGGGAGCCCCATGAGCTCAGGCAACTTCCTTAACTTCTTGGGACCACAATCGTGGGGTGGGATCATGCTTCCTGACCCACCGTGCCTGCCCAGGAGGTTGCTGGGAGCAGCACATGGGGCTGGAGGTGGAAAAGGTCACAAAAGGATTCAGCCTTTTGTTTATTATCAGGGACTCCCATCTGCCGTCCCCTCCCGGGAGTGGGGCCACCTGGTCCCCCACACCAGCCACACTGAGGAAGCAGGAAAAGAGAGAGAGAGGGCGAAGAGAAGGCCCTTCTCCATGCAGGTGGCTCAGAGGCAGGGGCTGAGGCTATCCAACACCAAAGTGTGGGGAGCGTTCGGGATGGATACTCACTCCAGATGCTGAAGGGAAGAAAAGGCCTCAAGGATCCTCACCAGTCTGGGGAAAGCCTGGGGGCCCAAGACAGGGCCCAGCCTAGGAGGCAAAGAGCAGAGATAAGACCCCAGAACAGCCCCCGGTGGGGCTCAAACAGGACGCAGAGGGTCGGCCCAGTCTGAGGCCCTGTCTCCTTCCCTGCCTCCCCAGCGCCTTACCTCCCCCACCCCCGCCAGGGGGACCCCACCCCCTTCTGCTCTGAGCAGATTTCATAAAGCCCCTGAGCAGCTTTCATCTTCGAGGCAGAAGCCAGTTTTCAGTCCTGCTGGCGTCCACACACGCAGCCCTCTCTTACCCTGGCCTGGGGAAGTGGTCCCCAAACGCTGGCCTGAGAACCACCACCAGTCCTGAGAAAAATGGTTTTCTTATTTACTCAATAACAAATAGGACCATTTATTGAGCACTTATTATATGCTGAGTCCTTCCCTCAGATTAGATCTCATTCACTCCTCACAATGACTCTGAGCTAAGCGCACTTCTTATCCCATTTTACAGATGAGGAAACTGAGGCACAGATTGGTGAATTAACTCACACAAAGTCACATCGCCTGGATCGACATTTAGACCCGACTTTGAGGGAATGAGAAAAATAAACACATTGGAGGCCTATTGTATTTAAACTACAGCTATAGGTATCAGTGTCAGGCACTGTCTTTCATTTTGAAATTATGACCTTTGGACCTTTTTGATATTAAAATGCTCATTCTTTGACAAAATTATAGTGCCAGCAGTGGTTATTTTGCTTGTTTGAATTAACATACTTGATAAAAATTAAAAGATGGTAGCTGCCCTTAGTCACTCAGATTCATTCTGAAATATTCTCAATCTTGAAATCCCACAGTCTCAAGCCACTAGACTCAGGTCATGAGATGGGAGTCTGAAATCTGATTTGAATCTGGGCTCTGCCACTCAGTTCCTGTGGTGACTTTTGGGCAAATATGTTCACCTCTGAGTCTCAGTCTCCTCAGATTTAGCCCCAATCTTATGAGGTTGTTGGAAGGACCAAAGAATTCACTCATCACTGCTTGCCTACTGTGTGCCTTCGGGCCCATAGAATCTGTCATAGAGAAAGCTATGAGTGAAACAGACAAAAATCCTTGTCCTGCGGGTAAGATTCCTCAAGGGACGAACAACCTAAGACAGGCACAGTCGCAGGGGGACCATCAGGTGAGAAATTGGGGATCAACAGAGGTGAGGCCTAGAACCTCACCCCCCCCGTTTTGAGAGAAATCTTCTGCATCCGTGGATGTTTTGTTGCCCTTGTCTAGCTTGGATTAATACTTAGTCTACAGGCACACACCTGATCATCTACATTTGCCCTCTTACAGCACTAAACTATGTTTTCTACCTTTATCTTGCATCTACCTACCACTTCAGCATTTTATTAAAAATAA